GGAGCTAACGGTCATTTTTGAATTTAAAATTGGGATATTTCTGAAACTAAGCCGTTGTGTAACAATGCGTGCGCGACACGTCAGACTTACAACTTTAAATAGACTTGAAGGTTTTGTTTCAACTGATGTGCTTAATGCCGGAAAGGACGTAGACGCAGTGATGAAGTCTGAGATATGCGTCTATTCGAAAAATATTGGCAAGAATGAGAAGAGAAGTAGCGAGATAATTAGATAATTGGCCACGTGATGGATAAACAATTCATGTTATCAATTTATTTCTAATATAAACATTTACATTCAATTACAATTACTAATTGCCAAGGTTTTTCAACATGAGCGGCAATTTAATATATATATTATATATGCATGTAGATATTAGATAATGGATAAACAATCGGAAAGGGTTTTTAGTGAGAAAACACAAACCGAAACTAGAATATGTATGAACCGTGATTTAAGGATTTAAGACCTGGACTCGGTGCAATGTGGAATGACCATACCTTGAAGATTTTGCTCTCTAAAATTTGCACGAGATGCGGAGCATCGAGTGTTAATTTTAGGAAACAACGTTTGAAAGGAATGGTAATTACACAATGCATTGAGTCTTGGGCTTAAATTATTTTCACACATTGCAAAATATTTTTAACATGTCACCTAAAAGATACGAAATCACTAAAATAACATATTTTCAATGAAAGATTTTGCAAGGGTCAAGTTGGAAAACCACCAATTTTAATCTATTGAGTGAACTATGCCTTATTGGTAATTTCACGCACAGTGCGTTTTGTGAAATACTGTGTTCGGATTGGCTGAAATCGGACACACCTTGTGCTATGTGTGAATTAGATATAATACAAGCATTGGCGAAATTGAACATTTGGTGATCATTTTGAATTTTCTATGGCACAAATCTGAAAACAATAACGTAATGGTGATCTATTCTAAAAGTCATGAAATGTATACTGATAGCCTATAGTACTTTTACGAGTAACAAATTCCACCGAACAAGAAATGTTTTGATAGATATCAACTACCTTGAAAATATATACTTGAACAGAGCTCTTACCCCTAGTTATCAACATTTGGAATTTAAAATGAAATCCGTCGACATTTGAGTTATCAAAGATTACCACGACATGGAGGGCAACAAGGGCAAGAGTTGGCTCTGTAAGTACCTCTGCCTCTTCAAGGACGCCGTGAATGAAAGGCCGGTATACCTGTTCTTAACAAACATCTCGCCCGAAATTTCTATAATATTTTTCGTAAGAGACATACCAATCAATCAATCAATAACATTTAAAATAATAAAATAAAAATTTAAAAAATTTAAAATAATAAAAAATACCAATCAGGGCGCGGGGCGCAGGATTATTCTCATTAAAATTTAAAATAATAAAATAATAATAATAAAATTTCATAGCTTCATTTGGTATGTCTCTTACGAAAAATCTTGAAATATTATTCTCGAACAGAGCTCCCCTGGCATAAGGTATTAGCATATAAAAGGATTGGCAACCAAATTGTGAACTGAATTCAACATTGTTTTCTCACCAATTATTGAAAGCACGATGTAAACACACTTGATGAAAAAATCCTTAATGTAATAGCTACTGATCGACAACAATTTAAGGTGGAAATTAATTATGTACATTGTATTTTTCATAATTGTTTTTGTGAACAATGTTCTTAGTGCAATCTTCTTTTTTGTTCTCTTGAGAATGAAATAAAATATTTATCCGAACCTTGTCATACTTGTCGGAACAAAATGGCATATGCAACATTTTCTTAGATCTCGATATATCATAGCTATTCAAAGGAATGTTGGGTTCCTTAGAAAATATCAAAAAACAAAATAAACAAAAAAATAAAAAATATTTTATTTCATTAACAATATACTTATTTTAATTGAAAATGTCTGGAGTTATTGCATTGACCTAACATGTGCACCTGTTCAAATCCTCAAAAATAGCCGAGATCTAACATATGCCTGTCTGAAATCTGTTGGAAAACCTTCCCTGGTCCTTTGAACCTAATCCGTCCTCTGGTATTTAAATGAACACATCTTACCTTATTTATTTTATGCTCACGTCCATCGCAACCAATCATCATTATCTGTTGAATGTTCATCTGACTGTCCCACCCAATACCATGATTTCTGGCTTTCGTTTCTTTCGTTTATTTGTCTGCTCCATCTCATGCATCATTCATGTGCCACACTTATTTCTTTTTTCATATTCTCGTTTTTACTGCGCTTGACCGTTACTTAAATTGTAAGGGGCGTCATGCCCAAATTAGCCAACTTTGCGAACATTTGCTCACCTTATTATTGAAACGATCTAAACACGTAGCATTATATCTTTTTGATATACAAGTCAATGTAGAAGTCAATGTCCCTGCGATTCCTAGAAACGTACGTTGGATGAATTTCTTTTCTGGTTATACATTTGGATAGCTAGCATATCTTATATCCTGCTCTCTTCCTTCTGTCGAGTAATATAATGGATCAGGACATGTGTTGGTTGTGTCATGTTCCAAAGTCCGCAGTTAACAATGCAGGCTTTAGCAAATATTGCACAAGATTATATCTGATCAAGGTTCAAAATCCCATGTTAAGAAGCCATATGGATATCTCCCGTTTTAGTGATTTCATCTTCTGTTATTTGTTCACATTACTGAATATTAATAGCATGTAAAGTATCAAGGCCCAGAGGACCTAGAAAAAACTTACGTGTAACGTTGGATACGCAATTACTGAGTATACAATTCTACCTGGCAATTAGCTCACGTGACCCCCTCCTATCTACACATCAGATCTTTTTCGAATGAAACTTTAGTATACGTGTTGCCTTTATACAAAAACTTTAAATTTTGAAGCCATGCTCAATTGAAGCCAAAATGTTAAATCTACATACAATGTTACATTAACGCCAAATTGGAATTTGTAAAGCAATTATGTATTCCAAACCTTCTGAAGTTCTAAAGAGCGGGAATATACAATGTGTCAGGTAGCGATCGCAAAGGTGCGAAGGATTATATGTAGTGTGCTTCTAATAAAAAATAAATAATCGAAGAAGTTTAATAGTAATAAAACTGATATGAAAAAAAAAATTAAATTGAACTACGTGTTACAGCCTCTTTAACCTTTGAATTTCTATTTACGTAACCTGCGATGAAAATACCTATACTGTTGATGGAAACGTAACTTGGCTTTATTTCAAATACCTCCATTTTTTCATTTTTTTCCTCAGTTACAATAGGTCGAAAATTTATGATAAATTTGATGAATTTTTGAAAATCGACATTCCCATGTTAACCAATGGGAAATGGTAGGTTTGCCGGAAGTCATTTGACAGAATATCCATCCATTCGAGTCCTTGCAAAAAATACAAGTCGGGTAGGCAATTGAATTTGCTAACTTTATTTAACAAAAAATTGCTACGTTTCTTCAGGTTCAACAAAGAACCTCTCCCATTGAAATAACACAGGAGTCGAAAAAATGTGTTTCCAAAATGACGTTAAAGCTCTTTAACTTTAGTTTTCATCAAGTAAATTATAAACTAAACACTTAGTGTACAAAAAAAGGTAAGACATTTCAATTTTCTATTCAAAAATATTTTTTCTGAATCGTTTACTGAATAGATATCCAAGATATCCTGATTTGCCCCGAACCCACCATTTCCCATTGGTTTACATGGAAATGACGATTTTCAAAAATTCATCTTTATCATCAGTTTTCGACCTATTGTAATTCAGGAAAAAATGGGAAAATGTTGAGGTATTGTCAAGTCAAGCAAGTTACGTTTCCGTCAATATTATAAGTAATCTCATCGCAGGGTAAGTAAATAAAAATTCAAACGTGAAGGGGCTTTAACACGTAGTTCAATGGGGGAGCTAAGGTTGCCAAACTTATGGAGGGGAGTGTATATATGGATATGTATTTATGTATCACTTTAAATATGCATACTAAATGTAATCAATAGTGTAAATTATTGCCGAAAACAGCAGCCTTTACCAACAATTATGTGGTGTAAAATACACCTTTCGTTAGATTCTTGATGCGTAACTTCAAATGTGTCTAATTGCTAGATGTCTAATACTCGTTTTATTTTACTAAATATCATGAGAGGCGAGCGGCCAATCATGCGATGCGATAGATGGATAGGTGCTCTTGGCACTTCTCTCCCTGTAGTAATGGCTTTTGGAAGAAATGTTGACACCCTTACATCGGTGATAACGGGATAAGATAGTGCGCTCGAAATCCTATCTTGGATTGCAGTTATCCGACCCAAATGCAACATGTGTGTGATACCTAAATGTTTGACATTAGAAAGATCAATGGCAGAAGTCAGATAAATAAAAACATTGATTCTTCGGTGTAACTGAATTCATGTCTTGAAGCATTGATATGAATATAATATAATTACATTTGTAAATGAATGTAAATGAAAGATGGCCAAACGACCAGTTGTTTGCTGTCAACTAAACGACTGGGACCCCAAATCATGAGCCCTGTACACGATGTATTTGATGATAAGTTCCTTATTTATACACCGGAGGACTGGCGTCCTATGAAATAAGGCAAAAAGAGGTGCTCACATTTTGTTACACGGTAACTAGTTGGAAGAGTGTATTACCAATAAAATACAATGCATATGATTGTATATTTTGTTCGGACTTCCATCATCAGTGAGGGATATCCATATGACAAGTTTCCCAATGAAATAGAATTATATGGAATATTGATTCTCACATTGTCGGTCACAAAGAAATTATACAGATTTGAATTATTCAGTTACGAACATGAACATTACAATATTGCATTAAAACAAGGCAAATCATATTACAAACTTTGTATTTTACAAAGTTAGTAATCAAAGGACACCTGTCGATGTTTTACAGTTAGAACACGTTCACTTATCAAGCGCGAAGACAATGAGAGGTTTTACTGACTGTTTCCTAGAATCACTATTAATTATAACATTAATATTATGTTTAATAGAAAAATGCAAAGCTGATGTTTTTACGTCAGTAGCCAAGTTAGAGGTCCTTTTATTGAAAGAGATACAGGAGTTGGAAAATATTGAAAAGTATATAGAAGCAGAGGAATTTCGAATAACGGAACTAAAAAGGTAAATACATTTTAACCAAAGTTTTTTTGTCTATATTAAAGCAAAAGTGAAATATCAAAATGTTCATATTTCATTTTGAAGTTTCATTGTAAAAAACTATAAAAACTTAGAGGCTAGCAAGGCAAAACAAAAGTCATTTAAAGTATGGATTACTATTCAATCAAGATTAGACGTATGTTGTTAAACATAGCATGTCTATAAATGTATTGCACGCCAAACAGACTTTGCAATATATTTCTAAATTATTAGGATAAGTCGAAGTATAAAAATGATGAATCCGGTTAATACAAGCAGGGATAGAGAGATGTACATCACGCACCCCATAAACGCGTTCCATTTGGTGAGAAGGGCGGCATTCGAATGGGATTATATGTATGCTCTACTGAACGACCATTCGCCACATGAACGTGAGTAAATACTTTTACTCTTATTTTGATAGTATATTATATAAAATCCCGATTCCGACCAAATGTTGGCGCGAATCGGAACGGAATCTGGATTTCAAATAATTAACAGAGAAATGATAAATCTGATTTTTTATCTAATACCGTACCCGTGTCATATTTTGATCGGTAAAATCAAAGGCTTTATTTCATACTTACACTCCCCTCCATAAGTTTGGCAACCTTAGCTCCCCCACTGAACTACGTGTTAATGCCTCTTTACGTTTGAATTTTTATTTACTTGACCTGCTATGAAAATAGTTATAATATTTATGGAAACGTAACTTGACTTTAATTCCAAAACCTCCAGAGTTTCTCAATTTTTTCCTCAATGACAATAGGTCGAAAATTGATAATAAATTTGATGATTTTTTGAAAATCAACATTTCCATGTTAACCAATGAGAAATGGTAGGTTTGCCGCAAGTCATATGACAGAATATTCATCCATCTGAGTTCTTGTAAAAAAACAATTTAAGTAGGGAATTGAATTTGCTTACTTTATTTAACAAAAAATAATACATTTCGTCAGGTTCAACAAAGTTATAGGTCTTTAAAGTCAAAATTGTTTTTCAAAAAACCTCTCCAATTGAAATAACACAGGAGGCGAAAAATAATTTTCAAAAATGACTTTGAAGCTCTGTAACGTTGGTATTCATCAAGTAAACTAAACACTTAGTATACAAAAAAGTGAGACAATTCAGTTTTCTATGTTAAAATATTTTTTGCTGAATCTTTTACGGATGAGATATCCTGATTTCTGATTTATCCCGAATCTATCATTTCCCATTGGATTACATGGGTATGACGATTTTCAAAAATTCATCAAATTTATCATCAAATTTCGACCTATAGTAACTGAGGGAAAATTGGGAAAATTTGGAGGTATTGGAAATAAAGTCAAGTTACGTTTCCATCAATATTAGTTCAATGGGGGAGCTGAAATTGCCAAACTTATGGAGGGGAGTGTAACTATACGATGAGTAGATAGACACTTTGATTGATTGCTGTACCAAAGATTATTTAAGTAAGAGAATTACATGCATTTATATATGGGCGATTGAAACGTATAGGTTGTGGCTTCAATTTTATATATGGGCGATTGAAACGTATAGGTTGTGGCTTCAATTTTATATATATGGGCGATTGAAACGTATAGGTTGTGGCTTCAATTTTATATATGGGCGATTGAAACGTATAGGTTGTGGCTTCAATTTTATATATGGGCGATTGAAACGTATAGGTTGTGGCTTCAATTTTATATATGGGCGATTGAAACTTATAGGTTGTGGCTTCAATTTTATATATGGGCGATTGAAACGTATAGGTTGTGGCTTCAATTTTATATATGGGCGATTGAAACGTATAGGTTGTGGCTTCAATTTTATATATGGGCGATTGAAACGTATAGGTTGTGGCTTCAATTTTATATATGGGCGATTGAAACGTATAGGTTGTGGCTTCAATTTTATATATGGGCGATTGAAACGTATAGGTTGTGGCTTCAATTTTATATATGGGCGATTGAAACGTATAGGTTGTGGCTTCAATTTTATATATGGGCGATTGAAGCGTATAGGTTGTGGCTTCAATTTTATATATGGGCGATTGAAACGTATAGGTTGTGGCTTCAATTTTATATATATGGGCGATTGAAACGTATAGGTTGTGGCTTCAATTTTATATATGGGCGATTGAAACGTATAGGTTGTGGCTTCAATTTTATATATGGGCGATTGAAACGTATAGGTTGTGGCTTCAATTTTATATATGGGCGATTGAAACGTATAGGTTGTGGCTTCAATTTTATATATGGGCGATTGAAACGTATAGGTTGTGGCTTCAATTTTATATATGGGCGATTGAAACGTATAGGTTGTGGCTTCAATTTTATATATGGGCGATTGAAACGTATAGGTTGTGGCTTCAATTTTATATATATGGGCGATTGAAACGTATAGGTTGTGGCTTCAATTTTATATATGGGCGATTGAAACGTATAGGTTGTGGCTTCAATTTTATATATGGGCGATTGAAACGTATAGGTTGTGGCTTCAATTTTATATATGGGCGATTGAAACGTATAGGTTGTGGCTTCAATTTTATATATGGGCGATTGAAACGTATAGGTTGTGGCTTCAATTTTATATATGGGCGATTGAAACTTATAGGTTGTGGCTTCAATTTTATATATGGGCGATTGAAACGTATAGGTTGTGGCTTCAATTTTATATACAAGCTTAAACTCTCTAATAACAGAAAGATACAAAACGCAAAGATAACAATTAGTATGCATTCTATTTGGCCGTCACCTGGTCACTATTGATTATTTGTTAGTTAAGTATGTAACGGTGTCATCGATGTTCTAGTAAGATATTGTTCTATTAATATATAATATTGTCTTAAACTATGAGATCTTTCCATCTGTTCTATATATTTCCAGTTGATGTGTTCATTCAGGCAAAAAAGTATGTGAAACCAATATAAACGATTTATAAATATCTATAATATTTCCAAATCCAATTTGTATTTTCCCATCTTTGGTTTTAGCTTTCCTAATAATCACCAACTGATTATGTTGGAGTTTAATATTTACATCGTAAAGTTAATCGCATAAAGTGGTAATAATGATAAAATTACCTCACATTGTCCTTTATCTACTAGTGTTTCGATGCTTAGAAAACAAAAAATGATTCAAGTAACTAATAATATATTAACAAAAATAAATATTTAGAAAACAACGGGTGGAACAGTATAACATTTGATAGATTTGGCACATTAATCCTCACAGATTCTTGCATTTTGGCCGATCTGGGAGACTTGAGATTACGAGATCGCTCGAAAATCATTAGTACTCCATTCGATTACGCCATTTCGGTAACAAAACGTCGGAACCTAGAAAGTATGATTTTGATTTTTATCGGAACGGATTACCAATGCAGATCTTAACCGTTTTGAAATTCCGTTTACGTAACAAAAGTGAGATATCAGGGAGTTTAAGCTTGCAATGTTTTTCACAACCTAAACGCGAACAGAACATATTTAAGCTATGCATTTGTGTGGGCGATTGGTCATATGTATAGGTTGGTGTTTTGATTGTGTATACAAGCTTAAACCTTCCTATTTAATCGACAATTGTATTGTCTTCTTAACTATTTGTTAGCAAACATGCACATATTAGGTATGAGATACGTACACACGTTTGTGATAAAAAATGGTTGTTTCGGCAACCGACATTTAATCGAGTGGACCCGTGAAAATGCAAGTTCATCGATCTGTATCTCGACATTTACCAAATACGCCAATCAATTTACAAAATTATATAATAAAACCGACTATATATTACTGATGATATGTATGAGAGGTCGAAATCTATAAATTAGTCAAATGATATATGGTAAATTGTTTTGTATTTAAAAGAGTCAATATTCATAAAATTGCAGTTTTGATTTTACACGAGAGCACGTCCACACAGAATGTTGCAATCGTTCATCATGTATACCACACATTGAAATTTAATCTAGAGAAAAAGAAATTTGTGTCACTTGTTTTGTATTAACTCAGGCAGTACAAGTAGGAAGAAAGGAAAGGTTATTACATGGTTAACAACAATAAGCTGATGAATTGTTTTGAATGAACATTTGTTAACATGACACTTTCCAAGAGAATAAAATGAGTCCAAGTATTGATTGATATTGTGTAAAATCAAAATAGGAATTGTTGGTTTCTCTATTCATAATTTGTTTCTAATCATTTACTTGAATTTCCGGAGCTATGTGCAACCATGCAAACAAAGCATATGCTTCAAATCCAAAGATAAATGGATTTATTAATAATAAGGGATTAACCACAACTTGTTATACTGTCTATAAAAAATATTTTCAATTGTTGGATCTTGAATGCGAATATAGTATTAGTTTAGCAGGCCTCGATAACTTGGCGCATTTACATTGAGCCCCGTGCTAATTTATCAATCTTGAAGACTCCATGTAGAACACTTCTAAACAGAGATCACGGTAGACGTTCGCCATTCGCCAATTGCGAATTTTCGAAAGAGGTGGCGAAAAATATGTAAAGGTATTTCGCAGTTATGGCGAATTAGAGGTGTCTCGGTTTCCCGATATTGGACCGAATTTCGGTCCAGATGCTTCGGTTCGGGATATGGGACAGAAAGGGTTAATATCGGTACATAGATTCCTTCCCTAAAATGCATAAAAACGTGTATAAATAGCGAGGAACACCTCCGATTTCGTTCTGAAAAATTAAATATTTTCACTTACCTCGTACCTAGATTACACTTCTTTGCATTGAAAAGTGTTATTAACGGACCCGCGATTTCAGGTAGATGGTAATGCTTGTTCGTAAATTTCTTCTCCGTCGTTCGCAAATCGAGTGCATTATCAGTATGCCGGATGTAGGAAAGAAATTGAAAAATCGAGCCGGCATCTAAGTCGAAAAAGTCGGCAGTTTGGAAGTATTTTGGGACTCCGATATCACAAGGTAAACGAATTGGTGATATTACACCGTGCAGACTATGTGAAATGCCGATCACATTTGCGGCAGATGCTTTACATTCAATTTTAACACTGTGGCTAGTCGATCTATGTGGATTCAGTCATTTATATGCAATGTTTCATGGGTTCCCGCGTACATTATAGGGAATGGGGTCGTTGAAAAAATATGACAGAAAATCGAGGTAAGTGATCTCAGAGTTTCTACTTAACATATTGACTTGAAATCTTGCATACATATTCAATATACATAGTATGACAATGTGTGAAAGTTTCAGCTAGCATATTCCTGTTATAGGGAAGATATTTGAACAACATTTCGTAAACGTCAACATATATGTATCAAATGGATTCAACTATGTATCATATGGATTGAGAATGGTAACAAATGGATGCTATAATAAATTATGCTTTTATCATGATGATTTATTTACAGATGGACAACTGGCCAGAT